ACTGTTCCCACACAAGACTTTCAGCTCTGTAAGGCAGAGCTTGTTAGATTGGTATCCTCACCCAGGAGAGTTCTAGCACATCTAGATGAATGTCCAGCCACGAGAAGCATGCGATCTGATCATAAGAGCGCTGGCTCTGGGACCAGACTTCCAGCTGTCTGGGTGACCTGAGGCAAACTTCTTGACCTCTCGATGCCTCAGTTTCCTAATTTGTAAAACAGGGACGATGACAGTGTCTAGCTCAGAAGATTATGGGAGAATTAAAAGAGGAAACTGGAGGCAGTATAGTAGGGCATTAAGAGCTTAGCCAGCTAATGTGAATCCTGCTGTTCTATTTACTACCTGTGTAACCTGGAGCAAAGTACTTACCCCCCTGTGCCTTGGCTTCCCCATCTGGAAAATGGGAATGATAATAGAACCTCCTAGGGTTCCCGTAATAGTGAGCTAATACATAAAGAAATGTTGACTTTTGTGAATGTGGCAGCAAACACTCATATTAACTATTATTAAGTACCCAATTAATGTTTGAGTGAAATAGAAAATAAATACTGTAAAGTTGTGTTGCACTGCTGTATCAGAAATTTGGACATTATTCCAAATTTGGGCCATTTTTCAGACAGACAGTCTCCCATGACTCTGAATGACTGTCAAATGAATAGTTTCAAATTCTAAATAATTTTTAAGAAGGAGTTTAAAAATTTAACTTAACTCTGAGCAATTTTATTATTTGTTCCCTAATTCCCAGGTAATTTTCATTCAAGAAAGATAGACGCATGAGGGCCAAGAGATTGGAAGCAATTATTTAGAGCAGAAATAGGGATCATGATAATTCAGACAGCATAAAGAAAGAAACCTTTCTGAGCAAAGAAAAGTGAAAAAAATGTTGCTTTTTGGCAATAGGGTACAGATGGTGTGTGGAGTCACATTTGCTGCTTGTCTGTGGATGTAGAACATTTAGCTTGGTGTCTTTAGCCTTTACCTGCGGTTTCGAGTTCTTCTGGTGCCTTAAGGTGGGGTTCCCCCAAAAGCCGACCCTGAGATGAGGATTCAGACATAGATTAAGAAGTGATCTGAGGAAGCATAAGAAAGGAAGCAGAGAAGCACGCTCAGAAGGTTCATTAGTGTGCGCTGCTACTCACATGTATGATGTCAAAACTGAATTCTTAAGTTTTCTGTCAAAAACAAAATTCCCGGCTCGGCGCCTGTGGCTCAAG